TCTGCTTTATCATTGGTAAACAAGGACTAACGATGTTGAGGTATTGGACTACAAAAGACGGGAAGGGAAGACATTGACCTTTTCCTCAGTAAGCCGAGACCTCAGCATTTTAGGCGACAAAAAGCAATACTTATTCACTTGCAATTCTCTTCGAATTTCGCTTGCTCATCGACTTCGTCGTTCCGGTCATTTTGCCGGTTGTCGAGACTTCGACTACATTTAATCTTTTTCCTTCGTTGGAGTGATGATGGCGGCGACGACGAGGTAGACAATTTGGCACTAGGCGAGGGCAACATGCTACAGCCACTTTTCTTTTCAGATTTCCTCACCTATGAATGTTATTGATTAACTGCTTAAAGAGATCAGTTCGCGACAGTTCGGTAGTACATTTTCACACCCTTGACAGATCCAGTCTTTCTTGGGCGATTTCGGTACATTCGTGCTCAAACAATGGATGTGGTACTCTCGCCTGCACATCGAACATCGAATCATAGGTCGTAACGACTGGCTGCAGCATATGAGACAGCAGGAACGTTTCGTAACCTAAAAGACGTTATTTTCAACCATAGATCCGAATTTTTTATTGCCACAGTCTGCTATACATTAATATTGCGACATAAGATTACAAAAATGTCCATATTAGAAACTCTGACGAACTACGTTACGGAAAGATGCAGTATTATCGTGCAGACGGGTCGTTATGACACCGAATCTTCCAGTAACTGAACAATGAAAGACATAGCTCATTGCGTCCATGCAGAGTTAAAAGCTTGTTTTTAAAGAGCTCAGCCACATAATCGATACTCGTCGCTACCTTTATACACATCATCTTCCTTCCATGCCACAGAAAGAACAAATTATCCGGCGGAATGTATTCCCTAAGCTTAGGAAAATATTTTTTGGATCATCTTGAGCCATTAACACAAACAGAACATCTGCGGTTTGTGATATCTGATATTATTGTATTTTTAAAACACTTGTTATAAGTCATCGGCTACTGCATCGCAAAAGGAACAATTCATCTCTGAAAGCAGATCTTGTTCCATCATGCCTCATGCTGGCTTATCGGTCTACGTTTGCTCGGTTTTGGTCCCCATACGAAGTTGACGGACTGAAACAAGTGATTTATGCTCAACCAGTTTGTCTAACAAACGAACCTCCTCTTAATATCGAAAAATACCAAGATCATATGTATCAGTATGAAACTCATTCAATAGGTGGTTCTACAGCTCAACATCCTCATTATGCCTCGAAGAAAACCCAGTTACATGCAGTTCGATCGTCGATCTTTCGTAGAACCTGATTCCATGCCGTAAAGCAACATTTACTTGACAAAGGCAATGCACAAATTACTGTTTGGAGAAATGCTCATATATCCTGGACAGGCTTCCAAAAGCATTCGAGATCAGGCAATCCTCATACTTTACTCTGGCTGGATGGTACCATCATGGGAAATACTTAATCTGGTCAACTTCCTGAAGCGCTTCACCTCCGTTCCAACTGTAAATAAGCTATGCTGAATGGGTTGAATGGGTGCTTAGAACTTCCGGATGGGTTGCTATAGACTTCCTGTTGTTAAAGAGGTGGTTGGCTGTCAGAGATGTGTCGCAAAGGACGCCGACAGGTGAAAAGAACACGCTGCCTCTACTACTCAATGGGACAAGATGATCTGCATGCTACGTTGGCAAGATATCCAGACGAATATTTTGAACCCCATCTTCCCTCTAGAACGAGAAATTTGCCTATGCCTGGGTCAAGATTATTTAGAAGTGGAGAACAATGTTGAATAGCAAAGGCAATAACAATTGTGACGAATTTCAGAATTAAGTGGAAACCATACAAATAACTCTTTTTCGTCGTTGACAAGAAATATGGCTCCCACATACATCTCTTCTAAAAAGGAAACGATGTTCTCTGGTATTCGATAGCGGTTCAAGGTTATCCACGTCGGTGAACAATGTCGAAAGAACTGGCAAACCAGAGCAACTGGAATCGATAGGAAAATCGTGAAAGCTGGCTAACATTATAGTATTGGGTTATCGAATGAACAGTAATTTTGGAAATGAAAGATCGATTGCCTTCATGAAGAATACGACGATTACAAACTCAGATGATAAAATGGTAGATGGGCGAAGTTCGTTTAAAGGAAATAAAAAGCAGCACTCTCTTATCAAGATCGAACAATATCACGAAAGACGAGGCGAGATTGAGCATTATTTCATCTGCCATTGACTACCTTCTGAACAGGGAGCAAAAATGTTTTTTTTCAGTCTGTTCATCCATGCCATAACATCCCGTAGCAATGAACAACTCAGGTAAATAAAGCCTCAACTCAGGCGCTCAGAACTTGGTTCTTAAACCGATGGAGTAGCGAGAACTTATCTTTCAAGTAGCAATCCGCAAACATTAAATGATGCAGTAAATTCAATATAGTTAAAAATATCACGCTCTTACGTCAGAAATGCAAACAGGGCAGTACCAGTCAGTGTCTGGAACGTTCTCCATTTGAGGCTATAACGAATAAGCAGATTAACTTTAGTCAGTATGGATTAAAGTGAATCATTAAGCATTACTTTAAAGCAGTACATGTGATACCCCATGTCACATCCATCGCACAAAAGTAGTTGAGACTCGTTTTCACCACTTCGACAAATTTGGCATGACTAAAAGGCAAAGCCGACATCGTCAGACAACGACAGTTAGTGAGCAATAGAGGTAACTTACGGCTTTCATAGCCGATTTCTCCCATGCGATTCTTGAATCCAACGAATCGATACACATCGACAGCTGAGAGGCGGAGGTTGCATTCGAAACACCTGCTCGCCATGTGGCCAAGGCCGTCGGCACATCGGAGGCAGAGTTCTGGGCATTATTTGCACTGGACGTACTGCTGTTGGATTTGTCTATAACTGCGATTAGTAATCGCGAGAGAAAACATAATGACAAGGGCTTCAAGACTGCACACGATTTTTTCATGTAAAATATTCTACTTTTCATACAAATGTTAGGTGCAAATCATAATTCGAAGATTAATTTCAAGCGACTTTTCATTGTATCGTTTGAAGCCTTTTGAAAAATGAATTCTGAACGTCGTGACACGGTTGAGCTTCTAATGGGGGAACTCACTAACAAAACGGATAATGGGTTGGCAGTACTTTTCAGGCACACGTTCAGATGAATATCGTAACTTCTAACCGTACATTTCATATAAAATTCTTTACAGAAAAACAGAACAGAAATTCTTTACTTGCAATCATTTTGAACCAGGAGCTAATGTCTAAACTCGGCCCGTCTTCAGAGTATGAGTTTGTTAACATATAGTCAATTATGCAATGTTTGATTATGCATACGTTTCATATGCTACGCTGTTCAAGATGATAAAAATCCTTTGCGGGATACTGCTGACAATAAATTTTTATACAGCGTTTTGGACATTTCGAATCATACTTCAACCGTCCCCAAGAAGTACGAGACAAAGCAAGGTAGATCTTACATCATAAAACGTGTGTTACTCTAAACAAATTTTTGGCATGGTGAATTTCATCTCATAAAAATGATTCGACATATGCTTTTGAGTGTATAAGTAACATTTGATATATAACAATGACCATTCAGACATTTTAGAATAAGGGAGCAATGAAGCCTGTCTTGAAATTTGGTTTCAGAAGAGTTTAGCGCTTATTAATTTAAATGCGGATATAATCGTTTTATCAAAATTTATCGCGAATTGTATTTTTGAGCAATCTTATTAAGACAAAGAAATGCATTAGTTTTAAGATATGCAGAGTCGATTCACAACGCTTACACAATTTCAAATGATAAACCTTCAGTATGAGGAGATTCAGCATACTGCTGCCCGCAGTGAGCACACTGTGCTCGCTACAGTTCACGGTGACTTTTAACTATGTACAATTCATATGCTCACTACTGAACGGGTTGAGGCTGAGACTGAAGATCAGTACGATCAAACTATACGTTTGAGAAACGCAACTCAGAGTGCATTTCAAGTTATCATAGTGAAGACTGAGCGGTGGAAAAATTTGTGAATCATAGGGTTGTACTCAAGAATTACGGCGAGTAGGATGCTGAAACGGAAACCAACTCATAGACAAAGCTAACGTAACTAATGTAGTAGAAGGAGCTGAGTGGCCGTAATACGATGACTTCAAGTCGGCCTATGCACCTATTACTCACGAGTGCCAATGACTAGGTAGACGAGTGCAATGATCGATAGAACCATCGGAAATGAAGTTCCTTCGAAAGGCTGCTGAAGTGACGAGACCGGTTTTCAGAACATGTATTACGATATAGTTTTGGTTGTAAATTGTTCCTTCTTCACAGCTAGATTACAATAACGTTGATCAGTCAGTCAGCTTCAATAACAGCTTATCATTTCAAGCTGCGGAGGTAGATGCATGGGTCAGTGTCTCCAACGTTTTCCATCCCGTGGCAGCGCCTGAGCTTCAGCAGAAGTTAACTTGAGTCTGGAGCATAGCTTGTCGAGGCACTTGCCCCAGGTCATTCCTGGCCATCCTCGGGGTCATCAGTCGATCACTTGAACAAGTACTAACTGTTTCGCCTTCCGTTCTCGAAGCATTCACAAGACGTACCGAAACCATCGCAGAAGTGACTTCTTAATGGAGAAACAGCGGATGTACATCAAACATGCATTCACCGGTATTTGAACTCCGGACTTTATCCAGATGCGTGAGCCCAGCGATTCTTCTCAGAAAGCCAATTACATAAATTCGAGCAACTAATCAGGAACGCTACAAGAGTTTCACTGAACGAGGTGGACTCTTTGGAAGGCGAATGAGAGGCGAAACGAAAGCCGCACAACACAAGTTAAGAGGATAGATCGTTTTGATTTACCATGCTTCATGTCTTCAGAGAAATTTATTCGATTAGCGGAAAACTTTACCACTGGAAAACCTTCTGAAGTTTCTGTCTACCCCAGGAACCCGAAAAAAAGGCCAAGAAAACTGATCAAGAAACTAATTTTGATATTCAGCAAAACAAAAAGCCTTGGCTTAAATAGCTCGCTAAATATCTAGAAACGGTGTATGATATTTTAACAGTTGTAATCAGATGTTAGGGAATGCGTTAAAGATAAATATAATGACTTAAGAATCAATAATACATGACATCTGTAACGATCCTCACCATGTTCTAATGACGAAAAGAAAGAATAGTTCTTAATGTTTTCTTAAGTTCTGCTCTACGCAGAATTACAGTATGATACAAATATGCAAAGAACAATGAAAATTCTTCTATGGTAGATAAAGAAAAAACCTTTGTAAACAACGCTCACCTAAGTCCTGATCCATAACCGCTCCATATTCCGCAAGCTGCGCAAGGTTCGGCTTCAGTTGGGAACTAAACGAAAAGACATTAGCCATCAAACACAAAGCACATAATCTCTTTTCGCTTCACCCGTTGAAGGAGGGCAGGAAATACCGCCTTTCGATATGCCGCTCGATGTCGAGAATGCGTTGCTTAGCAGCAGCGAGGCTGGTGGATTCGATTTCTGACGACAGCGAATTTTTACCATTCAGCTTCAGTTCCAAATAGCTTGGCGGGGCCCAACCCTAAAAGTTAGTAAGTTGGTACTCGTGAAATTGCTCATACGTCTTAATGTTGAGGGATCGTTAAAAACGTTACTTAGCATGTCGTAGCATAAGCAGGGTCCGTGGATTGGACTAAAAATTTGATGATGATTAGGATCTGCTATTTTCAAAACAATCGCTTACGGAAACACTTATTAATTAGTCTATCAAAACGAGAGGAAGTGAATTTTTTGATCAAGTTTATTTACTGTTTAAAACTAATGCAAGTTTTGCTCTGAATAATCTAACTCCGGCCTGCTTATCAAGCAGTGTCGGCAATGGGTGAGGGAAAGGTTCGTTTCCATGGAAAGCACTTTCCTTCGGCATGAGGACCTCTTAAAAACTCTGCAACAATCAGCGAATGAAGAAATAATAAAGGAAGGTTTGCAAGTCTGTTTATGCATTCTAAAATATCCTTGTCCGGTTGAAAAGAATTTTGACTACAATGCCGGACCGAAAGATTAGAGACTACGGTGACAAGAATTTTTGAAATAACGGCGAAATTCTTTAGCCCTACCATTCACCTTCCTTACAGACGATGACGAATTTCAGTCTGAAGGAAGACCCAAAAGACGCGAAATGGATGCTATCAGACGGAATGAAAACTGCAACCTTCATAAGTCATTAGTGATGATTAATAACGCATGACCGGTGACTCATGATTATCGTTTTGATGACCAAAGCCTGGCAAATTCAGTGTAATAACGTTGTTCAACTTGTACTGTAAGAGGCTGTCGGTACTGAACGGAAGGTGAAATCGCTCATTTGTCATTGCCAGTTGCAGAGACGGCATCGCTACGTGCCGATGGCGACTTTAGCTAATAAAGTTTAATAAACCTGAATGACTGAACTGATTCATTATGAGGTATAAAAACCTTTGGAAAAACACGCTCATCCAATATCCAGCGTTGTACGTAACGACTAATGGATAAGGTACAAGAACTCTCCACGCAGAAAATGACTACCCATGAAACATTACAAACAGGTGAGCAATGCAAAAAAGCTCATTAACATATATTTTGCTTCCAGAAACAAATTTTTCCCTTTGTAACTTGTGCAAATGATCAGAGTTTAATGATGCGAGACCTAAGTACCTAGGAACAAAATGACTTCAGTAAAACTTCAATGCGTCGTTCATTAGTTCATGGCATTTCGAATGAGTATTACCTACAGTCATTCACTACGATTGCGAACATTGTCAAGCAAGCAAAACTTTACTGTGAAAAAAGAAGTCAGGAATCAAATGGCAAGCGACACACTGACGTCATGACCCTTACGGTCAGAATGCACCGGCCTCATCAGCCAACGAAACATGCTGAACAAGAAGGTATTGGACACTGGGCCGTCCTGCAACAATGTTAACCATCATAAACAATAAGAACTCTGAGTTTGTCGCAGGAAAATTATTAAAACATCAGTATGGGTCAAGAGTTCCCCGTACGATTCAGCGTAAATCGGTACACCGTTGGAAATCAACCGGTCTTAAGTTAAATAATGCATAAGAGCCGAGCGCTAAACACCGCTACTGGTATATACATAACACTGTAGACCAACTAATGTGTGTTGAGCGTTTCTTAGGATGTATTTCAGTGTCAAAAAGAATACGATAAAAGTCGTAAATTCCGTAAGAATAAGTGTTGTGAAACGAACTATAACCTTGGCTCAATACTGAAAGATAACGGTATTCGTACCCGCTTCTTAAATAATTACTAATTAATTACCTGTACTTGAATGTTTGCGGCGTAGACCCTTTCTTCAAGATGCTGAATTTCTTTGAACGTCCGCTGCAGGGAATCAGCGTTCGTTGGACGGTAAGCAGACACCGGAGGCGGATGCAGGTTTAACATCCTTTTGGCATCACCAAACGCGTTTTCCTTGAATAGGTCGCCGTGCTTGGCAAAAGACCTGTTAAACAGCCGCTCACGGATGCCTCGTGGAGTCAATGCCTGATGGACCTTGTCCAGCTCCTCGCCGTTCTTCAAAATCCACCAACCCTTCGCCAGGTCGTCAAACGGCGGGTCATCGTCATAGAACTCGCGACAATCAGCTGAAAGCAACAACGGGTGTGAGATTTGTAGCTTACGAAGTCAGGAAGGAACAAGTACCGCTATCGGCCTGGCTAGAAATCTCCAAATAGTGTTCGAGGAGGTGTTCGTGATCAGCGTCGGCGATCGTGCGGCAAAGGGCCTCGATCGTCGCGCGGACATCGTCGCCGACTTCACACGACTGCAACGACTGTAAGTAGTGCAAACTCGTCAGACTGCAGGCCGGATTGCCAGGTGCAGAAGACTCGACTGATTCCACCAAAACGCCACCCGTGTTCGGCAGAACCCAGTAGTACCTCAGAAAACGGTCCTGACCGCACGGAAGGGACCGAATTTTCAAAATCGTGCGACTGATTTCACGGCGCACTTCGCCGGCTTCCTGAAAAAACGGAATATGGCATTTATAATTTATTTTACAACTTTAAACAAAGGCAGTTTACCAACTTCCGCGAAATAGGTCATATTCAAATTGTGAACATATTCCGAAGGTATCGAGTTCGATTCGTGAAATGACGCCCAAAACCGGTTACGCTTATCGTTAAGCTGATTATGATTATGTTTGTAAACATGGCCTCTATATATCCAGCCATAAGATCATAATTCACTAACAAGTATGGTATTAATGAACCCCAAATAGTAACCAGATTACCAAACGACTACGGCTTTAAAGCAATGTAGTCAAGGAGCAAAAATTGTGACCATCAAATAAGACAGAAATACTGGTGCACCTTTGGCATTAACCACTTAACAAATCTTAATTTAAACAATCAGTATTAAAATTAAATTACCTATCCAGCAACGTCAAAAAAATAACAGTTATCTCTCCTGTGGGAAAGCATAAGAAATAGAACGAATTACCTCTTTAAGCTCTTCAATTTTCCTCTCAAGCTCCTCGACACTCATATCGAAGTGTTCCAAAGACAAGTCCTGATCGCCCAGCAACGGCTCTGAATTATCCTGACTCCATTTCGCCTCGGTCTCAGTCTCATTATCGTCGCTTGGCTTCTTCGGTGCCTCGACGTTGGCAATTTCTGTGCTGGTCGAAGTCTCGTCCTGAGGATGTTCTGTCTTTCGGGCATGGGCGTGGCGCAAACTAAATAGTACGACTGAAAGTGGAGTATCAGGAAGGTCCATCAGAAACACTAAACAGTACGCCTAACAGCACGTAGTGTTTCGACGAACCGATGGAGGGGGAACTTTTGGTTTGCACAATCACAAAACTATCTTATCAGAAAATGAACGTTGTATGCATATACAAACAACAATGTACAATGGAAAATTCGAAAAGCAGCATATCACACCTCTTTTACACATGCCGTGTGATCGACCACAGTCTATATGATGATCATCTGCAAACTGCATACGAGGTAAGGCAAATCTGGGTCAGCGGAGGATTAAAATGTAAAAACGAAAAGAACGCAGAACACAAATGTTATTTAAATATGTATTTTTGTTCGCTACTAGCTTTAAACAACTTTTTTGGAACGGCGTCTACACAAAGCTTTGCCAAATTTTGTTTCCTGATTGCGTACTCTATTCCTCACGTCAAAGATAGGGGTTCTAATTCATCAAGCACGCGTAATGGTACGTTGTGAGATTTCCCTGTACGAAATTCCTCCCAGCACTCCTTCAATCGGTGAAACGCTTGGCCTATGTTCGTCAGTAAACCGAATGGAATCCATGGTCAAGATTTATACACTCATTCAGGTATCATTTACCTGATGGTGTCTTACGCTGGCAGTGTCGGATATGATCACTGCTCGTGTATAAATTTTTATTTGTCCCTCTTGAACAAACGTGGTTTAAATGACTAATTCATGCGCCACTTCATCGAAAGTCCAGCGTAGCCTACTGTGGTATTTCTTTGAACTGATGATGTTTCTGGATGCATCTAATATGGCCATTTTTGAATTTCGCTCTGACTCATTGCTTTATTTTCAAGAAAGGCTGCTGAAGCAGCTTTCCAAATCGAAAGAGCCCACCCCTTCTGCCTTGACCAGGAAATTCAGTCGTATCCGCGACTCTGTAATGAACAGCTGATAAGGGCTGCTGGCAATCTAGAATATTCGTCCTTTATCTTAATGGCTCTGAGACAGCGCTGCAACTGAATAGTGTCCTTTCCTGTTACTCCTGCGTTCACTGTACTTCTTCAAGCGAAAATAAATGTTGGGAAACGTGTTCATTTAGAACCAGCAAATAAGAGGCGGTCTCTTGACTTTCTGCAAGCTTCCTTGGTCTGCTACAGGTCAAAAGAATCTGTCATACATGTGACAAGTATTTCGCTAACAATCGAAACTTTTGCACCAACGACGGCATTACAAAGTGAACTAGTGCATGGGAGTGGTGGCAACATAAGGACTGATGTAACAGTAGAAATTTATAGGCATGACAAGCAGTTCTACGAACAGTACGCGCTGTAAATCATTAACCATTAACAAAAATTGCAAATTTCAGCTTGAAGGAATTTTGTAGAGCACTAAGAAAAACAGTCGTAAAAGTTTGACATCCTAGAAAAAAATTTTATAGTGATTTTCTTTAATTAACCAATGTTCAATTAAGTATGAAGGAACATGCTCATTCGTCATAACTAAACTTCCGATCTTGGATCATGATAAGCGGAACAAAAAACTTGTTTGAACTAAACTTCGAAACAGGAAATAAACCGCCTTCAAGGCAAGATTTACTCGTCTAAGATTTATATACGATCAACTGACGACGTCCAAAATGAAGATATATTTTCTGACCGTCAGCAGAAGTCTTAAAAAAATAAATAGACAAGACTAGGTGGGCGGCTTCAAGTGCACTAAAAAGATAAAGATCAAAGCCTTTTGTCGATGTGCTGGCTAAGAAAAGTGGAATTATAAAATGTTAAATCGTTTTGCTTTGCAACACCTTGAAAATCACAGCACTCTGAGGCTCTGGAATTCCAGTCGTGCGTTCGTAAGCCAATATTTAGCTACACTGCAAATGAGCCCTTGATCTAAGACAGATTCAACATGAAAGGCAAAAATGGAATATCTGTAAATTACTCAAGTGATGAAAAAGTGATGCTAAAAAGCTGACAGCCCTTTCGATTTCTTGGCTAGCACAGGGAAAACAAGAAAAACTTCTAAGCTGTCTGTTGAAACGACGGAATACTTGTAAAAGATTATCTTCTATTTCCATATTGCCAACTGCTGAAATTTACTACAAGCAATCAAATCTGTGGAAAACCGCCGTCGGAACGTCAGTGAAATTCCGTTGGTATCTCTTAACTATTCGACCAATGCTGATTATGACGCAGCAACCCTTACTATAAAAGAAACCAATGAGGTAGATGTGTTTGAAGGGTCTTATTCGTGCAGAATACTCAGATACGACCGCAAATGCTGATTAATCATAGATGCCAGAAAAAGCACAAGCGGAATACATCGAACAGACATCAGTACCAACTTTCCCTCGGACTAAATAAACTACTACTTTCATTCTTCGTCCACGCACTCTACGGTATAATAAGCGGCTAATTAGCATCATAATTCGTAGCGTACCGAATCCATGCTAGAAATGGCCAAGAAGCCGGACAAAAAGTTCATGCTTAACTGCAACGGATCAGGGCCGCATTTATCTTCAAACCACGGGCCAAGCATGTTACAATGATTGACATCGCACATGACTACAGACCACGCTGATAACATCAACAAGCGCGGGGATGTTGTAATCCTTTGCGACATACAATAAGTCCAGTTAACTGTAGAATCAGAAAATCTGCCAGCTTCAAGTCATCCACGATACAGTATTGGTATGAGCTATGAAAATAATTTTACAAAAAATTTTACAGTAAAGAAATCGTTAAAAAGAATTTAAACTAAATTTAAGCTAAAACTTAATGATAGTGATAAATCTGATAAAACATACAGCCACGCTACTGTAGATCAGATATCCCGTTCATTCCCAGAGTTTCTTACAAGCTCGAGCGGTAATTGGGAATGAAGGATTTTGAATTTACTAACAACTGGATAGTGCTTTCAGATGGCTTCATAGATTTAAGGAAAGCTTCATCGGCCGAAAAGAACGAACAAAAATTCACGCTGTACATTAGGTCTAATGCACTGACTGCCAAGCAGTTACTTCGGAAAATTCGCATGAAGACTAGACACAAAAGTGACGAGAAATCTAATACCTTTGAGAAACAGAAAAGGGCGAAGGCATTCCAGCGCGTTTCCTATGATTTCTGTGTAAATCACTCATACTGCTATTCACGAATGTCACTTTACTTCTTCAGAGAGCTGTCAACCATCGGCTATAAATCAAAAATTGCCGCAGCCGACTGTGCAATGAATGCATCGCTGTTTAACATGAGCGACGTCCGGGATGTCAGCAGCCAACTTGTTCTCGCAGATTAATTGAACAACGACTTCTGTCACTTAAATGCTGGCGTAACTGTTTTTAACATCCGCAGTTTCGTTTGTACAGGGTTTCCTGATGATGACACCGGGGTGCAGTGTCGAAGCGCGTTGACATGAGGGATTTTACTTCGTTCTAATAACGTCGAACTGTAAATCAAGAAAAGAAGAAGTATAACAGTTGCTTAAGTGGCTTAGTTACCGAAGCGCTTTTAACGCAAACAAGACCGAAACCAAACGCTATGAACTGCCGAAATGAAATGAAATGAACGACGCGGCAAAATCCAAGTAAACTTCCGACAAAATAAAAAACAAATGTGACTGCATCTTGACAATCTTGCATGACCGCACCGCTTGTACTGTCTGCAGCTGATAAAACATCAGCTTTTATCTTGGACCTGCGACAAAAATTTTTACGCCATGCGTATTATTAATACCTTACTCTTCAAAATGTATAACAAAATGAACAAAAGTATTATCTTTTGATAAGTCACAAACGGGAATTCAATGCGTAAATGTTCTTTAATTAGGAAATCTGACACCGAGCTTGGCCTGAAACGTCAGATATCCCTAATTAAAGAACATTTTTGCGTTGTCTTCCCGTTTGCGACTTAACAAAAGATTATATTATCTCCCGCAAAAATAAATCATGCACGTTATTCAATAACGAACGAAGATATATTTCCATGAGAAGATTCAAATTTAAAGCAAATGAAAGTAAAACAAACAAATCATACGCTCGAATGCGACTTTCATATGACCACTTGTCACCCTTAAGTTTCGCTACGACTTCAATGTTGTTCTCGATTTCGCGTACGACGTTCCTGCAGTAGAGAAGCTCATTGGTCATGTAGGCAAGGATGGAGATCTTGTCTTCACCAGAGAGCGTGTCGAATTCATGGTCGTCCAACAGACGTCCGAACTGTAAAGCACGGCTTTAAAACGTGACTACTCGCTGAGCGGTCGAATCGAACAAATTCGACTGACCGACCGGTCGGCTAACTCGCCACTCACCTTTTGACCGTTTTCGTCACGCGCGTAGAGAAACAGCCGAATCAGCTCGCTCATGTTGCTGTTGTTGACACAGATGTCTCGTAACGCTTGGCCGGTGAACATTTTGGTCTGGCAGCCATTTGACAAACTCGGGTACTCGAGTACCAGCGTCAACAGAATCTTCGTCAGACTGCGCAGTGATTCCTCATGTTCCGAGTCATTGAGCAGGGCTGCGTGAAGCGCGTCGATCGACGGTATTTCCGACTTGTCTACAGAAAGAACAATAATCAGAACGAAAAGATCTCATAATGCTTGGCGAAAAAAATCTTTCCATACCAACTTTCAACACCGAGCCGAAGGTGTTGATAAACTCGACGACCATCAATAGGTCAGCGAACGCACGACCACTCAAACGCAAATTTTTGATCCTTTTTAACCGTGGCAACGATTTCACGTCATCAACTTCCAGATCTTCGACCGGCTGTCGTAACTGCCTCACTTTGTTCATGTACGCCAGTCGAGCAACCTTATAAGACAACCATATAAGTTTCTCTTTTATAGGGAAGACAGCGTCTGTTCTGCTATGTTATACCCGTTTCTCTTCCCGTTGGATAACTTTCTCCCTACACAAGCGATTCGCCTCCTCTTCTTCTTGCTTAATCGCCGGATTTTGAACCACTGCCGCCGTCGGCTGTTTCTTCTAAACGCCATGTCATTCATCATAACTGACCAAAAGTTCGTCGACATCATAATGCACAATATTACCACGTCTGACAGGCATGCCACAGAACGATGTGACTTCTCCTCTGATTTGGAC